CATTTAAAGATATAAAGATGGGGAGAAAGTGGCGAGATGTCCGACGTCCGATGTCTTAAGATCCTCGCAAACTCCTTATTCATCCCCAAAGCGCGAGTACTTGGCCAGCGCCAACAACCACAATCCTTTGAGGCACTCTTGGGATAGAGATGCCTCCCAGCGGCAGCAGGAAGAATGAGAGCGCAGACACTTGCGCTGCGCTCCCCGAGATGGCGACACGGCTCTCAATTCTGCGATCGAAGCTTGTTGCGCTGGCGACGAGTGACAACGGCAACCACGGACGCCTCGACACTTCCCAAATGCATAAAATCGCTCACACATAGTCGGCAAAGGGGCTAATATTCGGTCATATGAAACGATTACAGGGATGGTTTTCCTGCCGCGTATGAAACACCTCTACCGGCAGGAGCGAGCACAGTAATCAGTAAAGCTCGGCTCACGTGGTGCGATTTTGCTCGCGATGTCGCAACTCTAAGCACCGCAGCTTCCACTGTGCGTCTTTTTTTTTTCTTCCGCACGAGGAACGTTGCAACTCCGAAATCGCAAGTAAAACCGCATGACGTGAATCAGGCTTAAATGCTTTTACAAATAATCTGCCTTTTTTTATCATGTATGTCTGTGCACTTCATTAACCGCTATCAGGCTAAAATAGCTCCCATTTTTCTCTGCCTTCGCATGAAAGCGAAGGCAGCGGGACGTAAGGACCGGAATATCGCCGCCTGCTGCGATTGGTCAGCGCCATGCCGCTGACCAATCGCAGCAGGCGGCGATGTCCCGGTCTTTTCGCTCCGCCGCCGTCTTGCATAGCCCCTCTGGATGAAACAAAAACTCAGAGGCCCCAATTGGCGGTGCGGTATTCGCCTTTCCAAAAGTTTGTCACCTTGGCAAAAAAAAAAAAAAGAAGCCTAGTTACTGGGTCGTGGACGCGCTCACGGCGTCTCATATTTGGTGCAAGAGGGCTACTCCGCAAGCTCTATGCTCATTCAGTAGACAAACGTGGCAGCGCGCAGAAGTGCGTCGTAGCTGCGCTCGTCGCCTTTGTGCGTTCGTTAGGTGAATGCCTAGCAAATGCCTAACGGATTCATCAGTGAATGCGCTATGATCTTGCGCTTTTTTATTTTTATCTTTCTAATTGGTTTAACCGCTGGTAGGAAACACACAAAGACGACGAGACGACTTTTGACGCTGCTTCATCGGGTCCAGCGGATACGCAACAAAAAGCGCTTTATTCGAACTGTCTTAACGCGATTACTAAACTTTTGTAAACCGCACTCAAATATTATATTTTATTGTAGCAATCTTTGTATTTTCTTAGTTTTTGTTCCAACCAAATGAACCTAGTTGTCCGGCCTTCAACTCGTGATCCAAGTCGTAACTCGAGCAGCACGAAAAATGTGTCGTCGATCGCAAGCTATAAGCGGCAGTTCCCCGAGGCAAAGAATAGACAGCAAGCTTCCACGAACCCACGAGTGTCACGCGCGTGTAAAACGGGTAACATTGAAGCACCTTGCGCCACACGGGTCAAGCCAGTGTCTTTTTATATCGACGCCTTGAAAGTTTCCACGACGTTTTCTCGATTACTTCCGACACCCGGTCCCCCGGCGCCACTTCTAACCATCGTCATGGCACGCTTGCGATCTTTCCAGGTGTCCTCGCTGCTAGGTCGCGACTGATTGCCTAGCGTCACGAAAAAGAGATCTGTGCTCAACGAGCCCCCCCAAAAATCTAAAAAATGGATGACATTACAAAACTCGATTCGAGCACGAGCGTCGCACGGAAGAGGCACTTCTACGGTATAGCAAAGAAACACTTGGCCAAAAAGGGAGCTTTTTACGGAAGCTATATTACCCATCTCGAGAGCTCTGCGTAAGGCGCTGGAGAGGCACGGGTGCGAGAGCCGCACTCGAGAAAATGCGTTTCTAGGGTACTCAAACGCGTGTTCAGGCAAATAAGTTGGCAGCTCCTAAGCTCTCACACGTGTTTCTTGGGTAGCGCTGCTCAACACTTGAAAGAAGCAGTATATAGGCAATGTGTGCTATTTCCCTTTGCCCCGCGATGGGGTGACGTGAGATGGGAGAGTGAGAAGTGTCTTCCTGCGAAAAAATGAAGAGGCTGTAATATACCCTTTCCGAAATTCAGTGTCATCTGGTGGCTCAAACGGCAGTTTACCTTTCAGCATACTAATGGCGGCAGTGAACGTCTAGTTTGCAGTATTGTATCGGGCACCGTCACTTTCGCAAGTGAACGGCAGTCAAGAATGTGCGCTTAACTGTAAGTTCTTTCTCAATCTCTTTCAGTGTCCATGGCGAAAAATATGCAACCACTCAGAACGAAGCGCCAACCCACATAGATGCCTTGTTAAAGTTCTATACATCAAAGGGCTTTGAAACCGATTGTTTGCTACCAATAAATTGTCTGGACCCGAGTTAGAAATGAACTCGTACGCAGCTTTTGCATTCAATTCCTGCTTCGCATCGTGCATCAATTCTTGCTTCGCACCGTCTCAAATGTATATAGGCCTCAAACCATCAGCTTAGGAGCATCTCAACGTCTTCCTTCATCAGTAAACAGAAGACCGCCGTTAGTACGGCCATAGCCTCATCTATACTCACAAAGCTTGGCAGTTCGACGAAGGAGCCATAGAGTGCCCGGTCGCAAATTTGTAGCGCGAGGATCTGGTAGCATAGACCATCAAAGAGCCATTTCTCGGGTTGAGCCTGGACGTCAGGAAACGCCTACTGCGGCGAGGACCCGAAATACGCTTGTTCGCTCGGGAGAAGTGTATTTCGGCGTGTCGCCGCAGCGGGGCGACAGTCACGTGCTCTCCCCTCATCCATTATCTGCTGCTCCACCTTGTACATTTCGGCGGCCGCTTCTTGTGGCGATCTGCCAGGCTTTGTCAGTATATAGGAGGCTGTGGTACGGCACATATACCATTTTTGAGATGATGATAGTGGTCAAAGTGGCCAGACTGAATTTCACAAAGCGTATATTTGAGAAATGTCACCGTCCCGCGGTAGCTCACTCTGGCTGCCCAAATTAGTTTTATTTTACAGTCATCGAGAACTTAAGAAACCGAGGGCGTGGTAAATCCCAAGCTTCCTCGTTCCGCACCCAATCAGGTTGCAGCATGAGCCGACAAGAAAGCCGACAAGAAAGTCGACAAGAAAGCCGACAAGAAAGCCGACAAGAAAGCCGACAAGGAGGTCGACAAGGAAGCCTGTCAGCGACTAGGGGGCAATAAACGTTGCCATATAGCAGCAAAAAAATCGAACGAAACGTTCAGTATTCAAAAATTACCTTGTTTTGAAAATCTTGGTGACAAGGGCTTTAAAACACTTATCACGATTTTGTAGCAGCGGGCTTCAAACGATCATTCAGAAGAAAAAAAAAATCTCAGTATTTGGGAAACTTATAGACGCGATATACAAAAAAATGTGAGCACCGCATCACTCATCATTAAGTATAATATGTTAAAGGCGAACCAAATATATAACTTCAAATTATTTCAATGAATACACCGACACAATTTGTTCGGTACCCGTACAATTTTCTAGTTCCTACGCATTACAAGACCTGACACACAGAATTTCAAACAAACGAACTAAATATACGGCAAGCAAGCACTAAATTATCAGATTACAAAATTATTAAATTGTCCAGGTTGAAACATTGATTACAGTGCCAAGTTTCCTTTGTTAAAACAAGACTGCAGACGATCTCTTGTTGGCGCAATCTAAACTTAATACTTTATAATTTGACGATATATTTCTTTTCTTTATTATTATATAATCCGTCCTACCCTTGGTTTCAATATATTTATTTACGTACGAACTGATGTTTCTTTCTTAGTTCACTTTGTGTGTCTGAAGGTCACCACATGACGTTTAAAATTGAGTGCTTCACACATACTTTTTTCAATGAATTTAGCATTATGAGTATAACTTCCGTGCATTAGAGAGTGTGCGTATTCTGAATTATTGTTGCTGCTGCTATGTGACGAGACAAGTGATGTATTGTTTTCTTATGTCTATATTGTGTATGTATTTTTAAGCTGTTGAACTGAATTCGGGGGTCACAAACGCTTCAGGCATCATGCCTTTTTCTCTGCCTCCTCAGCAGAAAACATCCGAAAAACAAATAAAGAAAACAAAAACTAATTTCGAAAGTGAATGGCGCTGGGAAATAAAATATTTAGGTTAAAGCTAGCTTGGTCTAGTTGGTTCCTAACGTTTGTAAGCATCAACGCTGTTACGGAGCCGCTGATGCTTGAGCGTCAACGAATCTATATTGAAGCAGAGCGAGGATGTTTGCGGTTGTCCCTTCTGTCCCCAGCCATCCAGACTTAAAGGGATTGACGATTAGGCATGCCGCGAACTTTTGCCCAATCTCGGGGTTTTACCTCGAACCCCGATGTTCGACTGCACTGAACCTTTGAACGTTTTTCCAAATTCGACAAAGTTCGATTTTTTGACAGTGCTTTTTGACTTTGTAATGAATTCAAAATATTTTAATAGAAAAATATATTAAACAAAATATAATTGGGACCTAGCGAAAGTAGGATATTTATGTATCCATTCAGAATAGAGCGAAATAACTATTTCAAATATATGCGCCGTTTACATTCAGTTCGTTGTGGGCGCTCTCACGTGTTCGTTTTCTTTCTGTTCTTCGATCAGCACTTCGTGGACAAACAGGACCACATTTTTCTTGTAAGGTTAATAATGTTTATGCAACATAAAAGCAAACCTACACTTTTTCCAATATTGAGATTGTTCGTTGTCCTACTCTACCCCTCAGCTTCTTCTCAATTTCAGCGAATGCGCATAATACTCAAATTTTAGTCGACGAACTTTGCGTTAAAAGTTCTAAAAAGTGGAACATGGGCGAGCTCAAACCTCGAAAAGTTCCCGACATCCCTACTAATGACAGTGTATATTCTAATGCTTAGAATTTCGACGAACCAACAGGACGCTGCCGTCTGACACTAACGCGAGAGATTATTTACAGGTGAATTTGCCCTCTTAAATTTAAAAAGCGGCCAAATGAGTGACAGCAAACTCGAGAGCGTCCCCCTGAGCTTCACACTGCTCCACAGACCCCCTACCTCTGTGGGGAAGCCAACGAGCAGCTCACCTTGAATGTGGTAGGACGTCCAGCCGTCCCTAATGACGATCTTCTTCATGCCATCCTTGGTGCGATGCACGAAGATGCCGAAAGTTCCTTTCCAGACGTCCTCACGAGTCTTGTTCTTGACCTTGAGCCGCTCCTCGACGATCGAGCTGAGGCTAGACACCGTGTCCACCATAAAGGTAACTTCTTCGTCCAGATTGGACCAGCGGTCATCGCGCCCCTTGATCGAGTCCTCGCGTGCGAGTATGCCGTCGCTGGTGAACAGGTTGCACAGGTTGCACTGGTCCTCAGGGTCCGCGAGCAGCTCGGTTGCCTGCTCGTCTTCGTAGGGCGACTCTTTAACGTGTGTGTACTCCTCCGGGGAGCTGCTGGTGAAGCAATTCTGGCTCTCCCAAGCAGTCTTCGAGAACTGCAGCTTGCTGGAGCCGCAGGTCGGCGACTCGGGTTTCTCGGTGGACAGCTCAGGCTGAAGCTTGGCGGCAGCGCCCGCGCAGCAGCACGGGCAGTTGTCACCCGTCGGTGAGACCACAGATGCTGCTGTGCTGGATCTGGGCCTCCGGTTGCGGTACCAAGGAACTCGGCTCGAGGTCTGGCTCCTGGACGAGGACGCTGGTGGCGGCTTGGCCCACAGCTCCGCTGGTTCAGTCGATGCTAGAGTCTGATTCTGATCGCTCGGTTCACGGCTGTGGCACACCAAGGCGCCCATGGCTCAATCCTGAGGCCCTGCAAGAGACCGTCGTGACCTTCCTTAGAGCACCTCTGTTGCAGATCACAAACCGTTCCATTGCAATCACCCTCACCACCTGCGCTACAGATAGAGCCCAGGACGGCAATACCGAAAATGACATCGGTGTAGCGAAAGCGGTCTAATCGCCTCGGAGACACTGAGTCCACCATAATTTTAAAGTGGGCAGAGCTCATTGTGAAACCTCGGCGTACATCGACTCCGTCATACCAAGAACGTCATACGAGTAGAACAACCTTCCAGCAGTTCTGGTAAACACACCGCCCAACGATATATTTAAAAAGGGGTTAACTAATCACCTTTGCTAGCGTCACGCCGAACTGATTATATTCTAACTAAATTGCTTACTTTGTAATATAATAATCTAAACCCTGGGTCAGAAAAAAAAATAAAATAACGGACGAGACGATTTTGTCTCGTCTTCTTCGTTATTTTATTTAGCCGTGTCTCGGTTTGGACTACTGTGTTTCCTAAACAGCTCGCCTGCATACTTCCGATTTTTCCTTACTTTGTATTTGCAGTATGTGAATTTATACGTCCTTCAATTCTGTAATGACCTATATGCCCTCAGAGTTTTGAAATAAACAAGTAAAAATTCAATATGCACGCAGCGATAAATATCAGAATTATGCTCTGTTTTTTTCTTACCTTGGAGCAAAACAAAAGTTACAGGTCTCAAGTAAAAACCTTTATAGGCGTTGATTAAGCTCGATAACTTTTAGAGTCAACGTGGATACCAAAGCTATGAACTTGCGCTCGTAGAATCTACTGTTTCTAAGATCACTTGGACGGAATTCTTAGTTCCCACCTGCCATGGGAGCATGACAGAAAGATACACATTTCCTGAAAAATAATAAATAAACAAAATCACGCCTTCATACTCTTGACCCTTTAATTCCAGGCCAATATACGGTCCCAATGTTCAGCGTATCGCAAGCCGTAGTGCCGAAACTATGCACCATTTTCAAGACGGACTTCTAGAAGCTCACATGAACACTTTGGTACGTTTTGCGAGCACTTCTTTCACTTACAGGAATGACATGTTTGCGCTGCTGGTCGGTACCTTATAGCGGAGAGTCGAATGATTGTTACTTGGCTTGCTTGTTGACGCTGAGGCGATTGGCAAGCAAGCAATGCATGTGCTAAACTAACGTAAACTACAGAAAAAGGCGAGAAATAATAAAGACAATATTTTTTCGAATCAAAATGAATTTATAGACAGATTAGGAAAAAAAATCATGATTAAAAAAATAAAAATAAAAATAATATACATATCAGATTTTTTATGTGAATCATATTTATTTATTTATTTTTTTAAAAATAAATGAATAAATTAGATTAATGTGATATCATCACATTATTGTGACTTAATCACAATTACAATGAATGTGGTTTAACTAACTACAGCTAGAAAATTTATTACTTCATTACCACTAGATGTATTTCTCAAAATGGCAGACCGATTGATCAATTCGTCCGTTCACAGATAATGCTGATGAAAGAATTATTGTACATGTAAAGTACAGTTTATTTAAGAACTTTTTATTGATGCGATCCCCGCCATACTAAAATAATAACAGTCTAAATTTCCTAGTTAACATTCTTTATCAGATCTTTCTTGCGCGTTCTGACTTGATTGCTATAGGACATTCATTTTCTAGTTTTCGTTTCTTTTGTGTTCTGACTTTACTGCAGTGGGATGTTATGGTAGCTGACGAACAAAGTGGAAGGTAGGAATTGAGCTCGACGCATCGATTCGCTCAGAAGAGCACTTCCATTTGCTCGTGTTCAGCCTTATACAAATCTTTCTTGCTGGATGATTGTTTGATCTAAATACGAAAGCCGCAAACGATAGACAAATGGTAAATGGTCCAATTTATATCACGATTTATATCATAATTTAAATCGCGATTTAAGTCATATTGATTTTTATTCTCCACCCTGTTGATAAGAGTCAATTTCTTTATGTGGCCACCCTAATAATGGCTCATGTGTGACTCGGAAAAAAAAAATTCGTAAAGCCGCATTGCACATCGAGTATACAATAAGCTCTGAGGCGGCACTACCAAGCCTCACTGGAAATGTTTGATCGGGTTAAAAAGGAATTGTTCCACAGAGTTCACTCGAAGGTTGGAGAACGTTTACAAACTGCAGCCCTCGTTTTGAAAGTCTCAAACAAATGACAGCAAACAAAATCGCAAAATCTCACAAGGACAAAATGCAATCTTGCCCACATTCCAGTTTATGTCAGCGGCGTGGAAACGACCACGGCAAAAGAATGTTCCGCCATTACCGTGTATGTTATTCACTACTTTTTCTCCCGCGTTTTACCGTCTTAGGGGAGGACGGAAATGCAGTACGACAGTCGTAAGTGCCAGGTGCAGTTTGCTAAGGCCATTTCTTCCGATTTAGCCCGGACAGGATAAAAGCGTCACGAAAAACTCTTCCGTTCCTTCCCGTAAGAATTTAGCCTAAGCAAACTTTCGTTTCCAACCCTTAATGAGATTTCGCGTAACAGGATTGTGAGTTGGGAAATGAAATCCCATTCCGGGTGCAGCGCCACCAGCAGACGCGAAGCACCCTAAAAAAAAAAAAAAAAAAAAAGAAAGGGGGGGGGGGGGGGGGCGAGGCGGGTTGACCATGCGCCAGCCACAAAACCAACTCACACAAAAGGCGAGACAAAACCCGCTTTCGGTCATAATTATTGCGTCTTATGTTTGGCTTCTGAACAAAAGTCTAAACAGTGCAATTTCTTAGAAAAGCCATACATTCCCGTCGTGCTGCACGTGAGCAGACGGATCATTAAGTGCACGATATATCGTTCATCAAGCGAGCGAATAGAGGACATATATCCCGTACCTTTGCAATTTTTCCAACAACACGTTTACTCTTTTTCGCTTTGAGAATTTTCGCCAATTACGATTCATAAATGTCGTGTTGGGCCGTCTCGTTTAGGAATAGCGCCGTAGACTCTGAGCGGGTGGAGTCTATACTCAGTTTCGCTATACGTCCCACCGCAGACGACGTCACGGCCTGATAGTGACAACCAGGCAGCGCCAAAAGTGCAAACTCACGGCGCTCTTTGCCATAATAGTTGCGGTTCGACTTGCAGTGAGACCGAGGTAAGTTTGATACTTTAGACCCATGTTACGGATAAGAAGAACAGGGTGCCGGATGGCCAGTAAAAGACGCTTTTCGCGTAAGGATCGTCAAATTATGATGCGCTGGAGAAGACCAGCTTTCTGCGTTGAGTTCTTATTTCGAACTCTTTTTGCTCGCGTACCGCCCATTGAAAAGCATGCGGAAAGCGCCTCAGCACGCACCTCGTATCGCTGTGCCGCAGTGTTCTTCCGCAGCATAAAGGTCGCTCGCTTTCATCACCGTTGCGACGGCAACGAACGCCGAATGACTTTTTTGGACGGCACGTGTATCCCGGGAGAACACACACACACATACCCGCCTCCGTTCACGCCGCTTCGCGGCGACAGTCTGCGGCTGCTCAGCACAAAACTATTACACTTTGGCTAGCAGACGGCGTTCGGAAAATGGAGTCAGCTTTTGCTAGCTTCACGCTGCGGTACCGTGCGTGCTTCCATTCATTCGGCGTTCATTGCCAGGGTGACGGCGATGAAAGCAGACGGTCTTTATGCTGCGGAAGAATACTGCGGCGCAGCGATACGAGGTGCCTGCTGAGGCCCTTCCGGCATGCTTTCCATCGGGCAGAACACGAACGGAAAGAGTTCAAAATAAGGACTTAACGCAGAAGGCTGATTTTCTCCAGCGCCTCATAATTTGACAAGCCTTACACAAAAAAACATGTTTTCAAAGCGGAGTTTGGAGATAGCTTTCCATTTTTACATCAACATGGGTCTAAAGCAGCGGTGGCCAGGCTGACCCGGTCTAAGAGCCGCAAACAAAACCACGAAACTTCCAAAAACCGGGGGGGGGGGGGGGGGGGGGGGCAAACTTTTGCTTAGAGGAATCAACAATACTAGAGTTACTTTCAAGCTCTCCGAGTCAAAAGCAGTTAAACTGTACGTAATGTAGCAGTAGCACAAGACAAGCAAACCGCAACCTGTCTTTCTATTTAAAACGCGTTCCGTTCCTTTTTTGGGGGAAGTGCTCGTGTGACTGGGAGGGAGGCGGGGGATTGGGGAGTGGTGGGGGATTGGGGAGTGGTGGGGGAGGTAGGGGAGGGAGTCGGGAGCCGTCCTTTAACACGCAAAGAACCGCATGCGGCTCGCGAGCCACAGCTTGGCCACCCCTGGTCTAGAGTATCAATGTAGCAGACCGAGTAACGGCCACCGATTCGGAACGCAACAAAAGCGGTGTCGTGTTATCTGTTAGTTGACAGTATGGGACGAAGTCAATCGTCATCATTGTACAATAGAAGTTGTGGTACAATAGTGACGAATGGCGCTAGAATCGCCCCATCATGGTGTTTGTCATGTTTAATCTTAAAGGGACGCTGATTGGAAATATAAAGTATACGTGACCAACTCTATCGGCTAATGACAATCACACCCTTGTATTCTGAACGGATGGCTATATTTTTTGTTCCAAAGTACCGATTCCAGCAAGCGCTCGAAGGTCGATCAGTCATCACAGAGCGCGATGCATCACGGGAGACGTGACGTCAACTGACCCAACACGGGCAAAGCTGCTTGGGGGCTCGCGTGGTTGAGCTTCGCCACTTGGCGTTGTCGACGCATTATAACATAGCCCGTTTTAGTTGCCCTTCCCCGCTCCCCGCAGGAGGTGAATAATAGGCCGGGAAAAGGAAAATCCGGTTCGGACAAGGCTCGCGCGCACGCAGCTCGCCGCCGTTCTTCTGCGAAGCGACGCTGCTTTTATATTCAGAGCTGATTCAGAGTGACGTACGAAGTTCGGTTTATTTCTTTTTGAATGACGTTTTGGCGATTTTTCGAGCAATAAATTGGTGTATCCGTGGAGTGGCCGAA